AGATGTCTATATTATCTACCGCGTGTATAAACAGTAAATGAACTATTGGCGAATGCGCCAGGTATATAATTTGTGATTATTTTATAAATTTTATATTTTATTTTTTTTACCGTGATATTTGTAGAAAATAAGACTAATCGAAAACTTTTAAAACTAATATTTTTTACAATAATTACCACGACGTAAGAAATTACTATTTACGTATACTTTTTTATGCATAATCATTTCGTAGAATATTGTTTAACTGGTCATATATTTATCTTTTTATTTTTACTGTATAGCAATAAATTTATAAAAAACAAAAGTTCAAAATACAGATATTCGTTTTTTCTTTTAACTTAACATCAAATATAAAGGTCTGGATTCTCTACCGCATGCATAAACATTAAATAAATGATGCATTCGACCGTTACTTAATAGAAATTCATTTTATCTAACAATAAAACACCAAAGACTTTTGTTTTTCAAAATTCCACAAAATTTATTATAATTTATTACCACTACAGCTGTTTCAGCCAGAGTGCCTTTCTCAAGTGATCTCTTTTTGGTATGCGTTAACACTTTATAGTCTTCAACTGAATAAGTTGAGGAGTTGAGAACTGTTTGTTTTAATTTGTTAATTTCCATAGATTGTACTAAATATAGCTTAAGGCCTTTATTTTAAATATGGAGAATTTAAAATTGGCAATTAAAAGAATGATTATGATCTCGAAAGTGAAGTGCGCACGTAGAATCTGTTTTTCTATTATTGGAAGCCCTTTTGTGTTCTGCTATCCGTTTGTTAAAAGTTCTACCAGTTTGACCGATGTAAGTTTTTGGACAGTCGCTACATTTAAGTTTGTATACACCACTGTGTAAGTGCTTGTTGTTTTTAATATATTTAACTAAGTTGTTGGTTTTTCTAAAAGCTAGTATTATTACTTTATTTTTTATGTGTTTAGCTATTTTTGTTGATATCTTGCCTGTATATATAATCTAGCAGAAGGTACTGGGTTTTTTCACCACTGGGTCGTGGAAATACTAATTTCAGTAATTTTTTATACAGTTTTTGATTCAAGATTTTATTTATCGTTTATTATATAATAGATATTATTATAAATATCTATGTCGACGTTGTTTTTTGACATGGAAATTTCTATTTAACTATGTAACATGCTATGGTAGGCTGCTACCATCTTGAATTATCTATATCTCTATTTATTAATAATAATCTGGTTGAGAGTCACTATAATATTGTTACGATAGTTCCGTAAAATTTTTTCTTTATTGAATAAATCTTACGGAACTATTGTAAAGTTTTAAAGATTTATTCCATACAGAAAAAGTCCCTTGATGACATAGGAAAAGTAAGAAAAATCTAGAATGCTAGAATGTTCGAGATTTCATCGAAAAATCCAGAAATGTGTATTAATTTTTAAGTACCTATTGTAATATTAATATAAATAGTAAGACAATACCGATAGTTAAAGTGAAAAAAGTGTACTTTATACAATTTATATCAAATTAATTTACCTGATTTTATGGAATTTCATCTAAGATATGATGCACGTGTACGAACTCATCATTTTATAGCCCCACATTAAAATAATCAAATCCTCCGAGATATAGCAAACTGATCACCGGCATCCTTTGAAGACCCTTATACTCATCAGCGCATATAGGTAAACTCATCACCAGCACTTTTGCCCCAAGGCGCTGGTTTCGAATGCGAAGATTGTCTGTTATCTGTTACACTTGTAGCTTACGTAATAATATTAATTACGGATATATTAAATTTCGAAGTTATTTTAAGCACACTGCTTTAAAAATTAACTGATATATTTATTTAAACTGCGTATCTCACGGTAAATGGCTTATTAGAGAAGCAACCAATAGAATTTAGTGAAATTCCCAAATACCAACCAATGAATCCAATGCATCTACATTTAATGAATCCAGACTTGGATTATTCTTTAAATTATCAAATCTTAGCAAGGCAAACATATTATCGTCGGAACCTCTACGTGATGCAGGTAGGCCAGTGATCAGTTACCAAATCTCTCCGGATCTATTTTAAAATCCCTGATTATATTGCGGTAATGGGTTTGTACCTTCTACGAGTGGATTTATGCTAATTGGCGATGAGTTTCCGTATACCGATATGGTCATACGTAAATAAAATATTGTTCTTTTTATTGTCTTTTTGCTTCTTCTTCTAATGGCGCTACAACCCTTTGTGAGTCTTGGCCTGCTTAACAATGTTCTTCCATTCTGCTCTGTCGGATACCTTCCTTCGCCATTGCCTGATGTTCATGGTTTTAAGATCCTTCTCTACGTCGTCTATACATCTTTTACGGGGCCTTCCCCTTGTTCTGTTTCCTTGGGGCTTCCATCTCTGGACTACTTTTACAGCTCGATTATCTGGCATTCTTCCTAGGTGACCAAGCCAGTTTAGTCTTTATGACTTTACAAATCTAACAATATCTGCGCTTTGCATTAGTTCATCCAGCTCGTGGTTCATTTTAATTCTACACGAACCGTCGCTGCATTGGGTTGATCCAAATATTTTCCTTAGTATTTTGCGCTTAAATATTCTTAGTTAATTTTCATCAGTGGTTGAGAGGGTCCACGTTTCACATCCATATGTGACCACTGGTCTAATTACTGCTTTGTAAATTCTAAGCTTAGACTCACGATTCAGTAACTTACTGTTTATTAAGTCTTTATATGCATAAAAGCTATCTTATTACCACTAAGAATCCGTGCTTGTATTTCTTGACTGATGTTGTTGTTGTCATTTATTATTGAGCCTAGGTAGGGAAAAGTGGAGGCATATTTGTAGGTATGGTTGTCTACTTTCAGATTCTCATGTTGATTCGTTTTTGTGCACTCCATATATTTTGTTTTGCTTTTTATATTTATATTATAGATCTATAAACGTAGCTCAGCTTCTCGTTTCAGTTCTATAACTTTCTCGCTTAATATCCTTTTGTTGCGGCTTATTATGGCAACATCATCCGCATTGCATATTTGCATTGACCTTGTATTAATACAGCCGTTTATATCCAGCTTTCTAACAACAGCTTCTAAAGTTAGATTAAAAAGTGTTGTTGATAAGGCATCACACATTATCAAACTCCATCTTCAATATCAAAGGCCAGCATCATATCTCCATCAATTCTCACCATAGCTTTGGAACCCTCCAGAGTCATATAAGTTTAACCAACTTATTGGGTATTACTAACATAGATAGTTGCTTTAATATCTTTTGTCGATCTACTCCATCAAATGCGTGTTTGAAATCGATATACAAGTTGTAAATAGGTATGTTATATTCAACACATTTTTCATGTATACCTCTTAACATATGTATTTGGTCTATAGTTGACCTCTTGGGTCTGAAGCCACATTGGTATTCACCAACCATCTCCTCCGAAAACGATTCCAGGCGATTGTATATAATTCCTGATAATAGGTTGTAGATGACATTTAAAACTGTTATGCCCCTATAGTTTTTGCAGAGTCGTTTGTCTCCCCCTTTGTATATAGGAAGTATGATTCCTACTTTCCAATCTTCTTGGAATGACTTCTAGTGTCCCAATGTGGTCGATTAGTTTATGGATACGCCTCCATAGCGCATGGCCATCACTCTTTATCAGTTCTGCAGTTATTCCATCTGTGCCAGGTGCTTTGTTATTTTTTAGATGTTTTATGACGTTTATCGTTTCTTCCAATGTTGGTTCCTTAATTAGTTGTTCTGCTGTGTGGTGATTTATTTCTTCGTCTTCGTTTTGTTCTTTTTCTGGGTTTAACAGCTCTTGAAATTGCTCCTTTCACCTTTCATTATTATCTCTTTCTTGCTGATAATTGGCCCATTTTTGTCCTTGCAAACTGTTGATTTTGTCATGTATCCTTGGGTGTATTGCTTGGTTTCCTTGTAAAATTTTCTAGTCTCTCTTCTGTTATTATAATCTGTAATTTGTTGTATTTTCTATTCAACATTTCTCTCTTTTTTCTTCTACATATTTTCTTTGCATCTTTTCCGAGTCTTCATATGCCCTTCTATTAAATCGCGAATCCCTTTGTAGACATTTCTATCTGGCTACATTTTTGCTATTTTTTACTTGTTGGCTATCTTGGTCAAACCATTCCTCGTTTCTTTTGCTTGAGGTTTCACCTAATGTTTCCTTTGCCATATTTGTAATTGTTGTTTGGGTGACATTCCATTCTTCCTCAATGTTGATTTGTTCTCCTCTTTTTTATTTTCCGCTGATACTCATTCTTCTTTTTAAACATATATGTGTTCCATTTTCTTTGTTTGGCGCCTTTCTCTTATTTTACCATTGGTATTCTTTGTTTTATCTTCGATATAACCAAGAAATGGTCCGAATCGCAATTTGCGCCTCTGTAAGTTCTAACATCCGTTACGGAGTTTGCCCACCGCTTAGATATTAATATAATGTGATCAATTTGATTAAATTGATCACATATTATGTTTTTTTATGCTCTAATGCCTTTTAATGCACTTGTTTTACCTACTGCATGATTTTCAGTTTCCCAAGGGTTTTGTTTTAATGGGCTAGTTTTGTTCAAATGCAATAACTTTCGTCATTTTGTCTATTTTTTATATATAAAATTCGTATACACTAGATCTAGTTTACAGTAAGTTACTAAATTGCTCTTTGTACTAAATTACCATTACAGTTTTTCTAATTTTTTTTATAAACATGTCTAGATTTCCCTTTTATCATATAGCAACCCCATTATCTCATTTGATGTACATTTTTATCTACATTAAATAATCCGTATTTAAAATGCGTTAAATTATTTAAACATAGTCGTTCTATGTGTAAATATCCAACATTAAAGATTTTTTAAAACCACATTTTTAAAAATAGTCCAAATTTTAAATCTACTAATTACACTAATTACTGTGAAAATGATAACTAAAAATTGAGTTTGTGTTTTTATATTTTTTATCATATCACCTATGCACGAATTAATGTAGATTTTATTTTTAGAATCAGACGAACAATTCCAATGCTCCGAATGCGGCAAGCGCTTCCGCAGAATCGCTTACCTAAAAAAGCACCAGTCGATGCACCAGCTTGAATGACACCGGCTTGTCCCTGTAATCAGACCCATCCCTAGGATGCCGCCCCGCCTCTGGCGGCCACCGCCTTTGCCGCCTCCGGGGCCGATCTGTAGCAATCCCGAGACGTCTGTCGTTTCGTCTTCCTTCGACACCGTCTCCGGTGTCGAGAGGTATCTGCAAAACGTCACGTGGATCAACAACTTCTGACACCAAACCAGGGCCAACAATGTATATATGTTTCTATAGTTTGGTAGGTAATTGATTTGATTTAAATGGAGTTATTTGTGAACTTCGCGATATTCAAACTTATTTAAAATATTTTTTGGGTAAATTGTCATTGTGAATGAAAACTTAAATACTAATTACTATTAAATACTAGAACTTAAAATAGAGGTCTGGAGAGGTCTTTAATGTCGATCTTATATTGCTTTAGATTGATTGCTTTTTAAAATGTATAATGCCCAACATAAATTTTTATTGATTCTTTTATCATTGATTATTTTTGCAAAATGTATTTTCAAAATAATTTTAAACGATTTCAAATATTCTATTTTAAAATCTCCTCAGCCTTCAGATTATGGGAAAGTTTTAACCGTGTAAACATACAGATAATCTAAAACATTTTCGAATCTAAAATCGAAACTCAAAAACACGAAGTAGCATACTTGCTTACAGAACACACTCTAAATCATACAGCTTGAACAGCCACCATAACTGGATCTACTACTTTTCTATCTACGTTTTTCCATCTCTACTTCTCCCGCTCAATATGTAGCAAAAGGTTTTAATTACTCTGTTATCCTCAACTTATATTCCAATATATAAACGGAAGAAGCCATCTTCAATTTACCTTCTGATAATGCCGAAAAAACTAGACCAAACATTACTAGATTTCTTCATAGCTCAAAGCTTCCTACTCCAAACATTAGCTAGTCCGGGTTGGACTGTATCGAATTTCGTTACACCAAGCTTTTGATTCTCTCTCTGGAGTCTAGGGAAACAATATTTTCCTAAACCCAATGAGCGTGTCCCCAGATCACTTCTTGGCCGTTGTTTTGTGCGGCGCTATACTTTTTGCTGAAGATAAAGGTTTTTGGTTTGATGACATGGTATTTAAGTGGCAGTGGCTCGTAGATTATTAAAAGCAGAAGTAGTATTGTTATAATGTAGCTAAATGTCGTCAGTTCTATTATTATGACAGAGAGATAATCGTCGTTTTATAAAAATAGATGGCTGCTTCAAAAGATATGTCCAGGTTTAAATAGGCTTCACACAATACGTTTGTTTCCTGGTATTAATGGACTTGGTTAGGACTAATTAGCCAGCAGAATATGTTTCTCCTAATAATAGAATTTACCTGTTAATTGCAGATTATCGTTTATCCAGCCTCATAGATACTTAATTTTTCTAATCACTTTTAAATGTTTTCTTATTGCTCTTCACCGATTATCTGTTTCAGTATCGTTATTGGCAAATATCCTTTTTAGCAGTTTGAGAGTTATATTGACCAAGGTGATTGTATAATAGTTGGTCCTCCTATGGCTATTTATTTTTTTGTAATAACGGATAAAAAAATAATAGGTACATGTTTAATGATTCTTCTCAGGTTTTTTCATAATACTAAAATATTATATAAGGTTAACTCAAATATCTTCAACTTCAAAAAGTTTAGTAATGTCTTTATTTCGCAATTCATCTTCAAAATTGTCTTAATTGTTGATCTCTCGCTAGGTTGTACTCGTAAAATGTTGCTGTATATAAGAAATGTTAAATCTTTTCAACATTACAGCTACTTCCACTGGATGAAAAAGTACCTAAACCTTCTCTTATTGAAATTCTATTGTTTATTCTTTAGTCGCATTCTTAAAAATGGCTTTACTTTATAATCAGAAACCCCTTGTAAGAACCCATTTCTATTATCTCCATTTAAACTTCTTACCAAGATTACAATTCTACTATTATTGAATCAATAACACCAATATTTCTTGAAAAAGGTTAATCAATCCAAATCATGAATGTGTTGCTTGTGTGAGTCCATTTCAAATAGGTAAAGAAATAATAAATAAGACTTACTCACAATCAATTTAATTTAACTATCTGACGACCGGTTTCGCTTTCTACAATATCCAAAGCATCCTCAGGTCTCGATACAAAGTTAAACAAATGCTGAAATAATAAGAACCCATATTAGGGTGTTGTCCAATAACGATAAAGTAAGTAGATGTTGTAAATTACAATAATTATGCCAATATTACATGTCTGTGGTTTTAATTTAAATGAGTAAGTTGAATAAAAGGTATAAAAATTTTAAAAGTTTAAACAGACAAGGTAAGGCCCACAAATAGTTATAAAATAGTCTCTTCGATTGTAATAAATTAACAAATGAACAAATAAATAAATAAAATAAACATTACTTACATGCCGGTACTCTATTAATTGATGGATGGTAGAACATGGTTGAAACTACTATATATTGTTGAATGGAGAACTCAATTCTATTATTGCAGTTGTTTGACAGTAAACGGGAAGTTCTTGTGGAGATAGATTTGATCCAATGAAGAAAAGATATGTGTGTGATTGTTTGTTAAATGAAAGTAATGTAATATATCATTGTGTTATTAAAAGCTATTTATACTTATTCGAGAGATATATTTTTGAAATGTGTATTTCATATGTGTATTTAATGCGAATAAGTATAAATAGCTTTTAATAACACAATGATATATTACATTACTTTCATTTAACAAACAATCACACACATATCTTTTCTTCATTGGATCAAATCTATCTCCTCAAGAACTTCCCGTTTACTGTCAAACAACTGCAATAATAGAATTGAGTTCTCCATTCAACAATATATAGTAGTTTCAACCATGTTCTACCATCCATCAATTAATAGAGTACCGGCATGTAAGTAATGTTTATTTTATTTATTTATTTGTTCATTTGTTAATTTATTACAATCGAAGAGACTATTTTATAACAATTTGTGGGCCTTACCTTGTCTGTTAAAACTTTTAAAATTTTTATACCTTTTATTCAACTTACTCATTTAAATTAAAACCACAGACATGTAATATTGGCATAATTATTGTAATTTACAACATCTACTTTGTTTATTGTTATTGGACAACACCCTAATATGGATTCTTATTATTTCAGCATTTGTTTAACTTTGTATCGAGACCTGAAGATGCTTTGCATATTGTAGAAAGCGAAACCGGTCGTCAGATAGTTAAATTAAATTGATTGTGAGTAAGTCTTATTTATTATTTCTTTACCTATTTGTTAATCAATCCATTTCTTAATTATAAGATTATGAAAATATTGAATCCCTAAACTAAGTAAATGAAAATATGTATACACCTACTTTTATAATCTTTTATTAACAACTATTTACAATATTTTCTCAGAATATAGATCACTATCGGTTTACTTGATTTTAACCTTTAAAACAGTCTTTATAATTCTTTTTCTTCTTCTTCACTGGCTTTACAATTCGGGGTGAGTCTTCGCCGCATCCACTACCGCCTTCATCCATCCTCTATGATCTTGCTCTTCTATTTCCCATTGTTGTACCTTAAATCTAGATAAATCGGCTTCAATATCACCCTTCCATCTTTTTCTCGGTCGGCCTACTGATCTTCTACCATCTGGTCTTTCAAAAAACACTGTCTTTAACGCTCTGTTATGCTCTGATCGCACCACGTGACCTGCTTATCTTATTCGGTTTGCCTTGATATGTCTAACTCTGTTTTCAGTTCCATACAGAGTCACCTGTTCCGCATTGCGGCGTCTTCTCCAATCCCCTGTGAATTCATCTTTTTGAGGGCCAAATATTATTCTGAGAACCTTTCTTTCTAATTGATTCCAGCTGATTTCCAGCTGGTTGAGAGTCCATGTTTCACTACCATATGTTCCGCAATAATTGGGCGAATTATCAAATTGTACAGTGTTAATTTAGATTTTCGTTTTAGCAGCTTCGATCTTAATATTGTTGAAAGTAAGTATTCGCTCCGTGCGTGACCATGGTAGGGGTACATTGAAACGATGCCAGCGTGCGTAGCGGCGAAATATGACAAAATTGGAATATTGGACAAAATATTTTTACGCATAAGTTTTATCAAAAATGTGTGCAAATACATGTTGCGTATTTAATTCTGCTAATAATAGCAAAAACAGTGAGTGTAGTTTTTATAGGTTCCCAAAGATTACATATAAATTAGGGAAAAGAAAAAGATGAATTCGTGCTATTAATATGAAAAAGTAAATATCACATAATTTCATTTTTATGCAATTGAAATAGGAAAAATTTAAATAATTTACCTTGAATGATATTTCATAAGGCTTCAATCTAACTGCAAAAGAGTCAACTTTTATTACGGCCAAAGTTTTTCGATAGTAAAAAGGTGAATTTTGTAAGAATTGTATTAAAATTTGTGATATATATTTTTTTCGATTTATAACTTTATATTTTGTTCCATTTTTTTTAAATATTTTATGTTTTATAGCGTTTTACAATAAATACCGAGTACATGAACCACCAAATGAAAATTTGTTTGAATTGATGAAGTTCACCAATAACTCCATTTTTTTTAAATATGTATATTAATATTTTTCAGTCTGTAAATAGAACACTAATAAACAGATTTCCGCTAAGATCTCTTTTTAGTTTTTAAGGAAAATTTTGTTATAAGACGAAAATATTATAATTAGCAAAATGTTATCGACTGACTGTAATATTAACATTTTCTAGTCTATCTAGTCATTAGATGTGTTTAAAGAAAATTTCTAGTCACTCCTAGTCGTTTATATTTACTATTCTAGTCATTTGCTACCTGCAGTACAACTTTTGTTAAAAACGTTATTTTTTCTAGTCTTCTCCGATAAATTTCTCGAGATAAATGATTAAAAATTACCGGCAAAAGGACAAACACATCGTTTTTGAATGCTTTTCTTTAGAAAATACTTATTTTACCTGCATATCAAATATTCGGTTAAAGAAATTCAAAAGTTCATTT